AAACCGCCCCCTGAAACCTACAGTCTCTCAGATGGAGATGACACTGAGGTTGAGGAGGACAAGACACTTGAAACGCATGTTAAGCAGGAGCCCTGTGAATCGCAAGACGAGGCAGGGGACGAGCTGGGTCGAGCACGTCCGGGGCCTAATCATGCTGGAAAGGCTATGAGGCTATGACTGCTGAGTCTGCGGCTTTGGCTGCGGCACTTGGACATGACACACGACTCGCTGGGCAATTCCCCCATGCTCCAGCGGACGGACCTGCTCGGCCTCTGCCGGCTGAAACCCCCCCCTGGGTCATGATGTTGCAGCAGAACCTCACCCAAAGCATGTCTGCCCTACATCATAAGCAAGATCGCTCACACAAGGACCTGCTGGATCTAGGCACAGAAATGCAAACCCAGAAAGTCAGAGTTGAGACCCTTGAGAAAACTGCACGGATACACAATGATCTCCATGAACAATCCATCAGTAGGATCTCACAACTTGAGAAGGAAGTTCAGGACCTTCGTAGATCTCAAACCCCGCCTCGAGGACGCGAGCCAGGCAGTCCACGGTTTCGCAACGACAGATCCCCTCCTAGGTCCCCGTCAGCACAAAGAGAGAGAGAGTCGGAAGAAGAACTAGACATTGTGGTTGGGGGCTGGAGGGACGCCAGGCGCTCAGATGCAGAGAATGAGGTCCAGAGCCTTTTTCAGGCCACCGGGCACGACGGAGACTGGACCACCATTAGGGCACCCTACACCAGAACCTCGTTTGTTAGAGTTCAGCTACGATTCCCAGACCCTGATGCCCCCATTGCCCAAAGGAGACTCTTTCAGACGCGTATCCTTGATGACCTGCGAAAGGATACCTGGACCAGTGCACTCCCAGACCAAAACGAGGCTACTCTTTGGATCACCAAGCATAGAAGCCCTGAAACGCGCGCAAAGATTAGGGCCCTTGTGGGAGCCAAAGAGTTCTTCAAGTCCCTCCCCCCCTCCCCCAACCCGCCCCGAACGATCCCTGAAGAGCCAGAGATCGACTGGAGAGGCAAACTCTGGGTTGGGAGGTACCAGGTCCTTGGGAATGCTGAGCACGGTTCAGAGGTCCAAGCATACGACCAATTTGTGCCCGATACACGAGGCAATCACACGTCTTGGTTCGTCTCTGCCAGAGCTTTCTCGGCTGCGACGGGGTATGAAGAAACGGCACTCCAGGAACTGTGGCACCAGTATGGGGGAGATAACAGGCCCAAGAGAAACCCCTGACACGTCCTTGAGCATGCGCCTGTCCTTCACTCTGTCTCCTGGAATCTCCGTGGTAAACCTTTGAATAGCCTCTGCGAAGTTTGGGACGTCCTAGATCTGAGTGGTACAGACTTTGTTTTTCTGCAGGAGCTGGGAGGACTGGACTTTTCAGAGCAAACATGGAAAACTCAGGAGATAGATTTGGGGGGTAGACACATGCTCTTCTACTTGGCGAGCCCAGTTAATTCTTTCCGAGGCCAGGCAGTGGGAATCCCGCTGGATATGGCCAATCGAGTTACCGAGGTACGCATTTTTTCGGCCGGTCTCGCGCTCAGACTAAAGCAGTCTGGAATCCAGTCATTTCTAATTAGTATGCATTTACCGCACTCGCAAAGAGAGGACTGTCTGCAAGTCTGGACTGACATGATGCACGCCACTAGAGAATTCACTGCACGAATCAGAATGCATGACACCATAGTAATTGGAGCCGACACGAACTATGAATTGCTTGAGCATGTGCCACGTACCCACCAAAGTGATGAAAGAGCCATGATGTGGCAGACCTTGAAGCAGGAACTCGGTCTCTCCAGCACTACTCCTGGGGAGGCCACGTGGTCAAACACCCGAGGAGCCTCCTCTCGGATCGACTTCCTATGCTACCGAAGCCCGGGCCTTGACACTGTCTGTCAGACGGTCGTTCCGGACTCAGACAGACTGCTTGGTAGCGACCACAAAGCTGTGACGGTTGGTTTCCGTGCCCTAAGACACCCCCGCACGAAGGAACGCAAACATCAAACACATAAATGTGGCAAGTGGAGAGTCAATGTGGCCAGGGCCTTAGAGGAGTTCGATGCCGCTCCCCTCCAAACCAACCCGCAGGCAGTACTTCAAGGAGTTGCTGGTAAGACGACTTTTCGTGATAACAGTTGTAGGTACCGAGATCCCCCGCCCATCAAGGACCTAATTCAACGACGAAAAAGGACCGCCGGAGCTCAGGCGAGGGCTCTGGCCCTTGAGATTGTACATATGCGAGCACAAGCCAAGAAAGCATGGATGGAGGAAATCCTAGTTCGAAGCTCTCAAGGTGATTTTACGGCCATATCATACCTCAAGAAGCGGCAATCGGCTCAGAGCACGCAGAGCTCGTACATCATTCGAGCAGGGGGTGAAGACAGAGCCATTGCTGATCTCAGGAGCTTCTACAAACGAAAATACACGCCGCAAGACCCGGCCATGCCTGGTCTAGCTGAAGCTATGTTCTTGAGTCGTGCTGGAAAGCTTGAAAAGCCAAGGGATATCACAGTGGAGGAAGTCCTGGCTACTCTTGCCAGATGCAAGCATGGCAAAAGCACGGGCATGGATGGAATCCCGTATGAACTCATCCAGGTCATGATGCAGTCCAAGCACGCTCCTAGTGTAGCTGTTTTTCTGACAGAAGTACTCAACAATGTGGAACCTGTACCAGAGGAATGGCTGACGGGACAGGTAGCTCTGCTGCCTAAGAAGCAGGAGCCGCGGGCCCCTAAGGACCTAAGACCTATATGCCTCTCGGCGGCAATGGGAAAGATTTTCACGAAGATCCTGTGGTCTCGCATTAGGACGCACTGCAGTAGCCCGAGGGCAAACCAACTCTCAGGCATAGACGGGGCACAGGGATTGGATGGGGCTGCCACAGTCCAGCATGTTGTGCGACTCAGCCAGGAATGGGGGGAACCCCTGGTAGCCATGCGCATAGACATCTCCCAAGCTTTCGACACATTACGACACGAAGCTGTCAGCACGTGGCTAGCCAGCCTAGGACCGCTGCAGGAGAGCCATGCCCTTCTCAAAGTAATACTGGCGACCAGCATTTGCATCAGTTTTGGGGCGGCACGCTGGACCCAAAAACTCCATCAGGGACTCCTACAAGGGAGTCCCTATAGCGCTGAACTCTTTAGTCGAGTGCTAGACTGGTTCGTAGGCATTGCGTATGACACTTGGGAAGCCACTGAGAGTACGTGGCTCCGAAATGGGGACCGAAAGCTCTTCTGTGTGATCTACGCTGATGACCTTGTTCTTTTTGCCACCAGCCACGAACAGATGAGACGGATGCTTGAACATCTTAACCGCCTTCTGGCATCGATAGGCCTGCGGATTGCCCTAGAAAAATGTGCCTACTTACAATCGAATGATCTCCCTGACGAGGCCATCACGGTAGATGGGACCACCATCCCCAAGGTACCGCACTTCATTTTCTTAGGAGTCCTAATTGGTTTTGGAGTCCAGTGCCAAGATGTACTTGCAGCTCGTCTGGTGCAGACAGTAAACTCCTTTCATGGATATTACAGCATCCTGACACGGGCTGACTCGCCCATTCGCAAACGTCTCCAACTCCTGAACACATTCGTCACCTCTAGGTGGAGGTGGATGTCGGGCTGTATTCGTCCTGTCACTGCAGTCAAGAACATGTTGGATAGGCTACATACGAACATGCTGGTGAGTATGTGCAGACTCAAAGATGATGTCTTTGCGGGAGTCACTGGAAATTGGGTTGTCAAGCGCAGAGCCAGTCGAATGATAGCGCAGCTTGTAGAGCATGCGACTTGGTCGGGAACCCATGCGCAGATGTTTTTCAGGTACTGGGGGCATGCTGCTCGACGCACGGACGGTAGCAACCCAGTATATCAGGCCATCAACATCAGAAGCTCACCCTGGCAATGGACGAACCAGGACAGGCGAAGAGTTTTGGGTTTCTGGCCCAACACTGAACGGTTTCTCCAACTAGCCTGGACCAAGTACAGACAGCCAGCTCAGCCCTTTTGGTGGGCCGGAGCTGCCCTAGATCGTCAGATCTGGAGTGATTTCTCCATGACGTGGCTTCAAACAAAAAACCTGATGCCTCAACAGCACTATCGGGACCTTTCTCTAGTGGATTTGCAAGATAGGATGCTCCTTCAGATGGACGAGGTTTTCACGCTTATGCCCATGAGACATCAGCCAGTGGAAGAGCCATATCCTGCAAACCTACAAGTGATGACTTCACCGGCCTTTCATGCACATGACGAAGTAGAATGCGCACATACACTTCGTTTTGTCACGGATGGCAGTGCTCGTTGTGGAGTAGGAGGATGGGCAGTAGTCATGGCGACCCCCCTGTCTGAACTGTCACAGGCAATCCTTTGCTATGGCAAGCTCCCAGGCAAGAGCACTAACATTAGAGCTGAGATTGCTGCGATCAGCCATGCCTTTCGGCTAGCGAAGGAGTTCCACCACTGGAACCCCTCGATACCCATAGAGGTGTGGAGTGACTCTCTCTTTGTCATTCATGTCCTGGAGGACCGCTACTATACTGCCTTGAATGCAATGGAGATGTCTGAGGCGCAACAACTATGGTGCCAGGTCTCCGCCTTTGTCCGGCTTAGGCACGTTAGAGCCCACACGGGCATAGCACTGAATGAATTGGCTGACACATATGCCAAACATGCCCTAAGCCTACAACACACGCGCAGAGTCTTCCGTACCCAAGACTTCCGACGGGCACATTTTTGTGACACAAGGGATGAGACGCCTCAGATCTGGATGTGGGAGAGCTAGGGGGGGGGGGGGCGGGACGGACATGTAATTGGTTTGTGCACACGCCTTTGCAACATGACCGTGCTTGTTCTCCCTCTCTCCTAGGTTTCGACTTCTCCACGCAGCCCTCTCCGTGCATTTTGGCCCACCCCAGTAGCTCCCTCTGAGTAGACAAACGCTCACTCCATATACCTTTCATACATTTCATTTCATTTTGCCATGGCGAACGTTCCGGGCGGGACAGATGTGCCTCGGGCTACTCCACTCCCAGAGTGGCTGCAACTGAGTGGCTCGCAGGATGGCTTCTGGGCGGGCAGGAAGTGGACAACACTGCTCCCAGAGTGGATGCAACAGGATGAGAAAGCCATCACTTTCGTGACGACTGCCATTGTAGCGATTGCCCTGGGAGTGGTTTTGGGTCCTGTGATGAGAAAGACTCTCTACGCCGTGACTGCATGGTTTTTCTTGCAGGCAACCAGAGTCATGAAGGCCCCTTACAAGCTTACTGGATGCCTTTGTAAGCTGTGCAGGCGTGGCAAAAAGGAAGGGGCGGCTGGACAACACCGCGAGACCCAGCAGATGAATGAGGGACATTCGAACACCCTTCGTCAACAGATAGAGGCTTTCTGGACTGACGTACGTGACAGCCTCAAATGCATGACCAGCCTTGTCACCGACCTCTGGAAGGAGACGAGCCGCAGCTGTGGTGAGCTGAAGATTGCCCAGCAACAAGCAGTCCAAACGCTCAAAGACTCTTTTCAGGAGATGACGAAGTTGGTTGAGAAGGCTGTGGAGAACGTCACGCGGCATGTTGACAAACTCCAGTTCCCGAGCCCCACGGCTATCAACAACCTCCTTGAACAGTCACGCACGGTGCTCCTACAGCAACTTGCGACAACAATGGACGAAACCAGTGCTGCACTGCAAAATGTCATGGTGGGACATCAGCGTCAAGCAGCTCAAAATTTCGACAGGGTCAAGCAGGAGATAGTCCAGCGCACAAGGGAACTGGAGACCATGGAGAAGCAGTTGGACCAGCATGCTCGCCGACAGTTCGAGACCCTCAAGGAGATCCAGGACTCGATGATGAAGATGCAAGAAACTCTCGATGGTCACAATCATGTTCTGGCCAAACTGGAAGACATGACTGGCAAACAGGAAGTGGCAATGGCTCGCTTTGCTGAAGCCATTGATCGAAGTCGGCAGATGGCAGAGGACGTCTCCACGGACACGGAGAGAATCCTTGCTGCCCTTGATGCCATTCAAGAACGTATGGGCCCGCCTGTGCCCTACCGACAGCCGCCAGTGACCAGACCGGGGCCTAGCACGCAAGCGAACCCCGCCTTTGACCATGGGAATGCAGGCATGACGGGAGTCAGGCCAATTCAACTGGCCCATGCGATCCCGATGCAGACCCCCGGTGGCGCGGTCCAGGCGCACAACCCCAGAGGAGAGATCTTGAGGGTCGTCTTGGATCACCTCACCAGTCCCAACTCGGGGGGCCCATAAAGACCTGGACCGCGATGGCGTATGGGCTCTGAGGCTACCTTTGCATGTTTCAATTCACTGCAAAGCATGCACGTGCATGGACCCCCCTTGCTTAGCTTTGTCAGCAACCCACTCCCCTGTATGAACGGTGTTACACCTAAGTCATGTCTGCATGTGCATGCAAGCCATAAAGAACCGTGCAATGGTGGCCCCTAATTTGACTTTCTCCGGTAGTTTTTGCATGCCGCCCCTTCTCCCCTCGAATCTCACTCCCCGTATCCCTGTAGCCCCATATCCCTCCAACCTCCCAAAGACGGTGTCCCCCACATGTTGACTACACCCCGGGAAGCGGCTTTTCCGGTTTTGGCTTTGAACTGTTCTTTAGCCGTGCTCTCCGCTGAGAAGGGCTGGAAAGGCTGCGGGCCCATAATTAAGAATTAGCTACTGCCGGTGCATGTAATCACGTAGCTGACATGTCTTGCTGTCATTGTACAAGAGCCTGATGGCTGGGAAAGATGCACATATCGATTAACTAGCTTACCCCCACCTTCTCCAACCCTAAACCATAAAAATTCACTTGAGTGTGCTCTCTCCCATTGCACAGGGCCGGACGGCATACAAAATAGCTTTGCACGCAGCCCCATAGGCCTCAGCCTCTATTCTTCGACAGGCGAACGTACCATAGGGACTGCATGTATGCCCTGTGAGTGCCTGACGATAGCAAAGTAGGCTCATGAAGACCGCCCGGTGCCTCTGGCCGTGAACAAAACAATTGCCGAAGCAATGATGGCAGCTACGCCTTGGACTTTGCATCAATTTAAATAAAGTGCAGCAAAGCATCGTGTGGCTGAAGCTTTTGGTTTGCAGCATGCTGAAGTTGTTTTCCGACGTGCATGTAAACCTCCCTCTCTTTCCCTCTTCTTCCTAGCAACGCTGCCTCAGCCTCCTTGCACTCCTGACCCCAAACAAGCCCGCAACCCCCCTTAAAACCACACATGAACCAGACGGTGGATGCATGTGGTGTGCAAAGGGAGGGAACCACGGGCGCAGGGAAAGGGGAGAGGGAGGGCAAGACTCCTTGGAAGTGTGACGAGGACATGGAGGATGGACACGGCGAGAACCCTTTTGCAGGCATCCCAGTTGAACACTTTCTCTTCATGACGCCCCGACTAGATCCGGAAGCGCCAGTAGAAACCTTTGCCAGGCATGCGCTCCCTAAGGCCTGCCTAACAGAAAGGAAACGACAACTGAGCACTGTTTGGGGCCTTCTGCCAGGTGCAGTCAAGTTTCGTTTTAGACAGGAAGGTCATCAACTGTGTCAGTTTGGTATGAGCTCGCGCACCTCCGCCTTGCCCACGAAAGCTGCGATCCTATATCCCCACACGACACTTTTGCTGACCAAAATTGTGCAGGAAGTTTTTCCGAAACACCTTTTCACGACGGTGAGTCTGAAAGCGAACCCCCAAAACATCTGCACTGGTGTACATAAGGACCTCAAGAACGCCAATCTCCCCACGGCAATCCTGGGAATACAGGGAACGCAGCACTGTGGCATATGGATTGAGGACTCGCAAGGTGCATACTTCTGTGAGCACCAAGGTGTGATCCTCAGAGGGACGGTTAGGGACATAGACCAGGGCCTGACATTCTCGGCCAAGCAACTCTGGCACAGTGGTGTTGAGCGGAAGGGAAGCTGTGACACGAGGCTGACCCTCATTGCATATGTAGGACGGAATGTGCTCTCGGGCACGCACAAGCTACAATGCTGGCTGGACAAGTTTGGTTTTGTCCAGCCGACGCCGACCCAAGTGGAGGCAGCGAGCCACGATGTTTGCATAGCCGGTCACATGTATCGACAAAGCCAACTCAGAGCCCGTAGGTCGGAAGGCACGAAAGCACAAGCATTTCTTTGTGTTGACACCAGCAGAAAGACGCCGGACCCTAAATCAGGACTGGAAGGTCTGGCGCTTGAAAGCTCGGCTAAGGTGCCCCGCCTTAGATTGTGACTTGGGAGCCTCTCAGACAGAACCAGGGTGAGTGAGAGAGTAAATTTTGGGATGTAGGGCAACCCCCCCCCCCTCTCTCACTTCCTTGCTCGCTCTTCCTTCTCCCTGTCTTACTACTGTCTTGTCAATAGGAGAACAGGGGTTTTTTCATGATCTCAGATTGGAGGACAACAGACTGCAGTACATATAATGGTGTCACTCCCTCTGCAGCCATGGTGCCCTCTGCACGCGACAGCTTTCACTGAGAACCTGGAATCTGCCCTTGTGCTCTGGAACGGCCGATGCAATAGTGGTGACGACTGCTGCCCGCAACGTGCCTGACGCTGTGGGAGTGAACCCCCCACGACACGCAGTGCATGGTCTAGGCCTTTGGAGGCCAATGCTACACAATACTGGTGCTGAGGAGGCTCTATGTCAGAAGACAAAGAGCGAAATTTCAGAATCGCTGTGGGTAAGCCACAGGACACTGAAACATTCATTACACCAGTGAAGAGGCTGTGTGGGAGGCTTCATAGCAGAGGCAGAACCAGTGGGTGGACCACGCAAAGCTGGACAGACAGAAAGCAATGGTGCTGAGCATTGGTGCGTGTATCTACGCAACGGGGATGCTGTCACTTGGTGCATTCTGAGTTTTCGCTTTCCGAGTGGGACACTTTCTGGATGGTGACAACACCTTTGGTCTGAATTTGGCGAATTCACTTTGTCGATGGAGGTATGGACCTACTGCATGCTGGGACGCGCCGAATCACATGGATAAGTCTGGAATTCGAGGAATTCACTTTGATGAATTGACTCTGAATTGGTGAGAGAGAATGACCCTGCAGTTGTTGACGCTGACTGGCATGACTGGCACGCGAATTCAAGAAGGAGGAGCTGAGAGTGATGCATGTAATTAGAGAATTTGACGAATTTGCAGCATGCTAATCCCTGAATTCAGAACGCGGACACATGAACAGTATGGTAGGGTACTCCACCAATTTCAATGCATGCATGCAAGTCTTGAGATCCTCTAAGGCATGAGAGTGCCTGCGTGGTTTGCCCCAACCTCTGTAGTGGACCTGCATACATGGCATTTCTCTGAGAACCTGCATGCGTACCTTTTTGTTGGCTCTGCATGATGAATCCGTGTGCGAAATGGGTGGCGGGGCCTGTGCTAAATACCTTTGTCCCTATGTTCTGAATACTCTATGTTGTTTGTGGCTCTTGCTCTTCACCAGGATCGACACCACCACGTTTCAAGAACAGATCGAGAGTAGGGGTGCACGGCGAGATGCGGAACGCAGTGATGCTCTGTTCGCATTGTTAGGATCTATGTGGTTTGTGGGTTCCGGCTGGTCTCATTGTTTGGATCGATGTGGTTTGGGGTTGCTGAGGTACGGGCGGGAGTATCTTGCAGGACCTGTCTGTATAGCCTTGAATTGGGCTTTCTGAAACACCCTTCTTTGGCACTGTAGCTGACCTTCGTTTTGACATGATTGCTATCAGAAAGCCCTGTCTGTGATTTCGGCCAAAACTGATGTACATAGACATGGGAGTGGCTCTGCAGTCCATGCTCCCCAGCTGCCTCACTGTGAAAGTGAGCGTGCATCCTTTAGGAAGGCCCCCTCACGGCAACACGGATCCACTTGTTTGCATCTGTTCGGGATCTATGTGGTTGTTTGGTTGTTTCGGTGGTGGTGTTCAGTATCGTTGGGATCCATGTGGTACTATGGGTTGGTGCTGGTCTTGCCTGGCACGTGTTGCTTCGAGAGCCCCTTCTGTCCCATACAAACTTGGGACCCTGCTGTCTTTTGGGTTTCTGGTGTAGTTATGTCAATTTTCAATTTTCAGTCGCTGATGGGCTCCAGGGCTGCCACTGTACAAGAGCCGATGTGGCCAGGCAGAGGGAGTACAAGCGACGATCCTTTGTAATGTCTCCTGTCGGAGTGGCGAAACACTTCCTTTGAGAGGGGTATGGTTGGGAGTGTAGTTGAGTAAGAATGCTGGAGTGTTTCGCTTTCAGAGTGAATGTGCCAAGGTGCTAGGCACCCCCCCCTGAGGTCCTTTGAGACCTGGGAGTTTTCTCCTGGGAAGAGATGGGAGTCCACTGGGCTGGGGTTTGTGTTGTCTAGATGCGTCCCCTTGATGGTCTTATTTAGTTGGGGGTTCCTCACCTCGGTTTGTACCGGATCCCCATCGCTTCCCGCATATGTGTATGCTGGCTTTAAAGGCAATTTCTTCTTGAGTGCGCACCTTTTCCCGGAACTAGTCCCTGCAACGTGGCCACAGTGTCAGCTAGGCGGGTGGCAAAAAAAAAAACCCTATACTGGGTATTACTTTGGGAGAATTTCAAATTTCCCTTCTTTCCCCATTCATAAGTAGTTTTCAAAGGGCTTTCAAGCAACACCCAGTATAAGATAGGGACGTGTTATCGTTGAGCGTGAAAGAGCAGCTCCAGTCAGGCGAGGCAATACCATGGAGACACCGACGACTTGGGCTTCCGAGCGGCTTTCACCAAGCTGCCCGGTCCGGTAACGAAACATCTTCAGGGTTTAGGGTTTAGGGTTTAGGGTTTAGAGTTCTTTAAATCACTTGGTAGCCCAGAGGTAACCCTAAACCCTAAACCCTAAACCCTGGTACCCTTGTGAACTTTTGTTTTGTTTTGAGTTCCCTTATATACAGGGCTCTTGAAATCACTAGGTAGCCCAGTGGTACCCTTGTGACCCGTTATTTTGGGTTATGGGTTCCCTTCCAGATAACCAACCCCGAAAAAAGGTGCCCCTATTTAGTGTTTATTTCAGGGTTCGGATCCTTCTAAATAGTGTTTTCACACAAACAAAGAATGGGATCCGCTTTTTCCTAGGTTACTGGAGCCAAGGAATCATCCATGGACAGCCGCCAATCCCTTAGGGGAAGCCCTGAAGCCTCAAACCCAAAGCAAAAACACTCTAAATCCAAAAAGCCCAATACCTCTAATTAAGGTAGATACCTTCAGTCATATCAAGGACCTCTGTGGGTCAGGGTTTGGGAATAGAA